TATGTATATATATACATAAATTATACTTGCCATTTGTATTCTTGCCACCTAACTTTTTTATAATACAAATGTATCAATTTGTCTTTCTGTATTCAAAATATGTCCTTTGAACCACTGGATAAAATTAATTACTACTACCACTACTACCAGTACTACTACTACTACTACTACTACTACTACTACTACTACTACTACTACTACTACTACTACTTCTACTACTACGACTAATACTAATACTAATACTAATACTACTAATACCAATAGAGATATTCTCACTTTATGTTACTCAAAAGGAGCCACACTCGACAGCAGAAGATTTTTATCTGGTATTTTACTTGTGAGGCCAGATTTTCAGGACAGGTTAGACCGGTATACAGGAAGTGCACACGAAGGCCAGTCACGAGAATCTGCCACATGTCGTGTGTGAAGCTTGTTTATATACGCTTATCAGTTTAGCCAAGCTCACAGACTCTGAGGCGTCCTTGGATCGACAGCTGCATGCTTCAGCCTCACCCAGCTCCTCATTCAGCTCTCTCTGTTAAACCAAACATATGATTCGTGGGCAGAGTGGGGATTTTCAGCCATAGTAGCTTAAAACATCCATAAACTTTTGCCCAAAAATTCCCTAACAAATATTAATAATAATATTCTTTAAGTAATCCCTGGATGTACCTATTTACATCAGATTAACTTTTGAAATCAACTCGATTCAATATATGGAAATAAGGGAACAAAAAATATATATATAAAAACGACTATAACCTAATAACATATATTTTTCTGTGTTGTTCTGTGTAATGTTTTGAAACTAATGGTATCGATATATCTGACAAGGTTGAATCAGGTCCACTGGACAAATTCTTCTTTGCTGAGAAGAACAAAACAAAACAATGTCTAAAGGAGCTGACTCAATCTTGTTATATTTATCTACTTGGACTATTTATTGAGCATGTGTCAGGACATTAACAATATGTATTCTTTCAAACAATGCTAGTTTTATTTTTATATGGTTTTGGGTTTAACAGACCCAAATTCCTACTTGTAGCTCTTTCAATAGTTGTAATCCATGATAATTCTTGAACCAACTAGGATTTTTCTCTGAAAGTATTGTCTTAATATGTACATAAAGTTATGTTTTCACCCTCTCGAGTCTTGCACAGGCTCTCTTTATTTATTTAATTAGTTTTAATTTCATGCCAGCTTTTCTCATTCTGTAATTTCTCATTATGTTCCGCCTCTCTCCCAGCCGACACCATGCTTGATGTATTTTCATAGCATTGCTAGACTAACATTTTCTGCTCAGTGGTTTAAAAAAAAAAACTCCAAGATTCACCCAAAACAATATTGCATTCTGCTTCACCACAATTCTAATGTTATTCTGCTTGTCTGCAGTGAGCGACAACACCAAGCTGGCCCTGATGAACAAGTACAAGGACAACATCATCGCCACGAGCCCCATCGACAGCAACCACCAACAGAACACCCTGCTGCCACACAACACCTCCACCAGCCAGCGCAAACGCCTCTCCAGCAACACTCGGGGTGAGTCCCTCTTTGCCACAAATTTAAGATAATACAGAAGAACATAAATCACAATGCAGACACACCTTTACATGTTTACAGGCACATGTTGGCAACGTGTGCTCATGCCTTCAGCTTCAGGAATTCTGGGCTCTGTTTTAGATACTGTCTTTTGTGTATGATTATTACTTTTTTCTCATGACAGCAATAAACTGATGGACTGTAAACTTTTGACTAGTCAAAATGACACTTGAATTCCTACTTTTTTCAGGAATTAAAAGACACATTAAAGTTGTTTTTTTTCTTGATAGCGCACATCGTATTGACACATCTATATGTTAGGTGTATGTCAGTTTTGAGCCACTGATATATGGTGTCTGCTATAAACTGAAAATGATTTAACTAGGACAAGTATTACTTCCAGTGTCCATAATATTATATCATGCAATATATAGATGTTTCTTGTCCCCTGTGGTGACCCCTGCAGATTTCACATAATGTCAATGATCAGCTGTAATGAGGACTGGCTTTCCCTTTATAACATCCATCAACAAACGAGCATTTAAGAACTTTCAACTCAAAGGTCTCTGAATTAAACTAAACAATACCCACTCAAAACATGTGTCCCTTTATATAAGATGTTCAAATATCAATAATTGTTCAATTAAAATCACTATGAAACCAAAATTCATGCTATTTATCTTTGCACACTGTAACTCTGTTTCGTTTTTTTATTCTATGTTGAACTCAAGATTCCCGCCTGTTGTAAAAGACAAAAATAAAAGCCAATAATTCAATTCAGTTTATTTATATATCGCCAAATCACAACAAAGTTGTCTCAGGGCACTGAACAGAAATATTCATACACATATGATTTTTAGTCAGGTCATCTGGACAGTTTATTTTTTTGCTGAAACGTTTCACCTTCCATCCGGAAGGCTTCATCAGTCAAGGAAACACACAACACAAAACTGATTCTTCCCCCAAACAGCTTACTCCAAAGTGGAACAAACCAGTTATGTTGGTGTTAAGATGGTGTCTTTGGCACGCCCCCTCCTCTGGTGCCGGCCCTCTTTCTCGTCGACAGTCATGTCTGACTGATAATTGTTGGATTGTATACCTGGATTATTGAGTATGGACATTTTTTTGATTCATACACATAGAAAAGCCAATTAGTAAAGTTCTTTATCTAAGGAAGCCAGCAGACATATTGAATCTTCACTTTGTCACAGTCTCCCATCCTGAGCAAGCACAATGGCAACAGTGGAAAGCAAAAACTTCCTTTTAACAGGAAGAAACCTCCAGCAGAACAGGGCTCAGGACAAGCAGCCATCTGCTTCGACCGACTGGGTTTGAGAGGACAGGAAGGAGAGACAAATGAACACAGAATGGTAGGTCCAGGTGTACCTGAAAGACAAAAAAAAAAACATGTTTAGATAGAAAAAATAACTACAAACACATAGCAGGTTGAGCAGAGTAAGTAAAGACAGTAGTAGAGTGGAAAAAAAAAATGTGGTCAGTTTGTCCTCCAGCAGTCTAAGCCTATAGCAACATAACTAAGTGATAGTTCAGGAAACCCAAGCTTACCCTAACTAAAGGATTTATCAAAAAGGAGAGTATTAAGCCTAGTCTTAAAACTGGACAATGTGTCAACCTCACAGACAGTGATTGGAAGTTGGTTCCACAAGAGAGGAGCCTGATAACTGAAAGCTCTGCCTCCCATTCTGATTTTGGAAACTCTAGGAACTGCAAGTAAACCTGCAGTCTGAGAGCAAAGTGCTCTGTTAGTAAAATATGGAACAAGATCTGTAATATAAGATGGAGCCATGTTGTTGAGAGCTTTGTAGGTTAGAAGTATGATTTTGAATTATATTCTAGATTTGACAGGGAGCCAATGGAGAGAAGCTAAAACTGGAGAGATATGATCTCTCCTACTAACTCCGGTTAAGACTCTGGCAGCAGAATTTTGGATCAACTGAAGGTGTTTTAAAGAAGTATTTGGACACCCAGATAATAAACCATTGCAATAGTCTATTCTAGATGTGACAAATGCAAGAACCAGTTTTTCTGCATCATTTTTAGATGAGATGTTTTTAATTTTAGTGATATTACGCAGGTGGAAAAAAGTGGTTTGGGTAACATTTTTCATATGGGCGTTAAAAGACATGTCCTGATCAAAAATAACACTAAGGTTTTTAACTTTAGAACAGGAGGCCTAATGTCTAACTCACTATTGGTAACTAATGTCATCCAGAGAAAATCAAAGATGCTCAAGTCCAAAAAACACAACCACTGTCTTGTCTGAGATTAAAAGCAGAAAATTAAGGGTCATCCAGGTTTTTTTTTTTTTTTTTAACATATGCTTGTTACTTAAGTAGCTGACGGGATTCATTGGGTTTCATGAACAAATATAATTGTGTTATAATCATTATAACATTGAAAATGTATCCAATGCTGTTTAAAAATATTACCTAATGGAAGCATATATATATATATATATATATATGAGGTAAAGAGTATTGGTCCAAGCACTGAACCCTGACGAAATACCATGACTAACTTTGGTTTATGAAGAAGATTCAGTATTTACATTTACAAACTGGAATCTATTAGATAAATATGATTTAAACAAGTTTAGAGCTGTTCCTGTAACACCAATATCTTATTCTAGTCCCCTCTCAATAATGAGAAATAAAAATAAAATAAAATAAAAAAACACAACAATAAATATGCTGTCAAGGGAATAAAAAGATGTGGGGACCCACAGGCCCGTCCCCACAGGACACAATGGTAACACAGGGAAGACTGGAACCACAGACATACAGCGGGCCCCAAGCCCGGAGCCCCGGGAGTCCTCCAACAGGGACACCCCCCTCCCCCCACCGAGAAGCAGAGGGAAGTCCCGGGCGACCCCCAGCAACCACAATGTAGACACCCCAGGGGGCTGCAGGCTCCGCCGGTAACCCACCCCTCCAGAGTAGATCCGGCCATGGATACCGAGCCCCAAGTCCTGAGGTCATATCACCCCCCAACAGAGGCCCGACAGAGCCAGGGCACCCAGGCCCTGGCAGGCAGCCTCCAGGGCGGGCCGGCACACACCCAATCACCCAGCACAGATGCCGAGAGCCGCCAATGCACCGGATGCAGGGGGGCCCACCACCGAAGGGGAGCGCAATAGGGGGAAGTAGACCCCACATTAAGGGGGGGAGGGGGCAATTTGCTCCAAGAGAGGGGCCCTGTAACCCCAATATCATATTCAAGCCCCCTTCTCTATAATGAGAAATTAAAAAAAAAATGCACAAAGATAAATATGCTGTCAAGGGAAGAAAAGATGAGTAAGTAGAGTTTTCCAGAACAAACATTTTCTTTTTTCCTTTTTATATAAAAATGAAATATTCTAAACACTGTTTCTAAACTCTAAATGCTCTAAAAGAGCACAGAATGTCATGATGTCATGATGTCATGATCTCCGCTCTCTGCACCTGCTAGTGCTCTCAGCCACGCCCACTTCTCCGCTGCAGAAGGAAGCTTCTCCTTCAGCTGGCTACTGCACACAATTGCAGGAAGAGGGTCTTTCTACAGTTGTGGGCTGCACACAGGTGCAGCCGGTGCTAAAATTACCATCTTGATCATGTGGCTCATCCATCAATCAGCCTACTGGGTGTCATGTACAATCTTATTTTGATAAATTGCAATAGAGTGGGACCATGAAAAACAAACCGCGAAGTAGCGAGGGACTACAGTACTGCCGTCACAGTGTTACAGTATACCTGTATTAACAATCACACATAAACTAATAAGATGAAATATCAGTTTTCCTTAATATCAGTGATATAGTTTTCAGGAGAAGTTATTTTTGGGTTGCCACACTAGCATAATGTGGGGCAACACAGCAGACTGCTGCTGGTTGTCACTCTTATCCCAGAGGGAGGAGAAACCGTTAATGCGGGCACTGACCTCTACATTAATCATCCTGTGAATTTAGCAGAAACAGTTTAGGAGCTGTGCTTCATACTGGGATCGTTCCATTGAAGTCTTTAAACTCTGTTTAGAAGAATGAATGAGGAAAAGAAAAGTAGACATGAAACTAGTGCACTTCAGGTTTAAGTCATCATTAAAATATATGTCTACTTCACACTCAAATATATGGTCATTAGAGTTATAAAGATGTAGGAGGTTAAACTGCATTTATGAACAGCTTTAAAATAATTTTCCCACATGACTTTTTGTCAGCGGACACATTGTCAGCTGCTCAAACAGATTGCTTTTTCTTTTTAATCAGGAGAATGCCAAATCCAAAACTTCCTATTGAAAGGCAGCTTTTGTCTTTGCCTCCGTCTTCAGCAGATATTACATATTTTTCAGCACATTAATCTTTGAATTTACCTTCATACTACAAATATACATTAGATTTTATTTACTTGAGCTTAAAGGTCACAGTCATGCAGTGCTGTTTTAAAGCCTTTTACTCTAAAATGTACATAAAAAAATAATAAAATAAATTAATGATTTACAATGTATTGCATGTTTTTATTACCTATAGTTTAAACTTTAGGTTGTCACAGAGGAGTTTAGTTTAACAAAGGCACGTTTAAAATATTAGAAATAAATTGTGAAGGAAAAATTTAGTTTTTAAATTAAATTATGATAAAATTGGGGTCTGAAGTCAAATCATAAATGCTTTTTTAATAAATTCTCAAAACCCTACCATCATTTTAAGAGGTTTTAGAAAGTTTCTGCAGGATGTCATATACATTCAAATAATTTTGTGAAATGAGTGACCTTTGAACTGTAAATAAAATTAAAGGTTTGTGTGAATGGAGAGTGAAGCCTCATGTGTTTCCATGTTTTTTTTTCCCCCCAACCTTTATTTACAATTGACATTATTTTCTCCCCTTTTATATTTTGATATCAATTCATGTCTTTATCACTTGAATTTAAACAAACATCTTTGCAGCCTCCTATCTCTTTTCATGCTTACCTAAGGCTGTAGGAACTTTGGGAACAAGAGCAACATATAA